CATTAATCACAAGCTGTAGCTAGATGGAAAAATTACAGTTTCTGGACACAGTTGCTTAATTTCTCTCATTTTTTCCCACTGAAATGTGGTATAAATGTATGACGCTGATTTGTGGTATAGTCAGTGCTTGGGCACCATGACAAGTCACATTGCTGAAATTGCACGAGTCTCATACTTTCCACCTGTCAAATCAGCCCTTTGTCGACACTCTATCCAGGGTGTGTCTCAATCCGTTAGTGAAGTAATTACACTTCCTGAGGAGTCAGCCCTTTCTAGAGCTGTCCCATTGTCAAAATCTTTCTAAAACTGGAAAGTTGTTTCAGTAGCACAGACTTACTCATCACTGTCCCAATATCACCTATTTCCAATGTACACTTTCACATCATATGGAACTAGGATGTGTAATGGGACACAGCCCAAAAAGAACTGTGTTGTATACCATGTCACAGGTGTCTCACAAGTTCTCAAGCACTTTGGCCTCTGTCAGATCCACCTTCACTAATCCTGCAGCTTGAGTGACATTCAGATACCAGGTGCTGAAGTTCGACAAACCCATGTAGAGGACAGTGATGACAACATATCTTCGCAGTTTCCGTTTAATGAAAACATCCGTCAACATTTACAGAGCTCCACCCCATCACACATGCAAAGTCTCTCTGACACAAATATACAAACTTTCTTTCAGGTTTGGTTTCCCACAGTTGAGACCTGTGGCGGATGCGGCCGTTCACACAAAGCAGGAGCTGCTTTCGTTATAACAGGCTGACATATTGACCCGTCCATGCTCCGCTGGGGCTCATTTAGGGCCGGTGATGGATCTACCATGTGCCGCAGGTTGTTTGTGCTTTTGGAGGCCTGCTTTGCATTGTCCGTTACATGGGTAGAAGGTAACAGGAGGCCTATCCGATGGGACGGCCGAGGAGGAAAACAGCACTGGCCTCAGACCACACCCTCCAGTCATCTGAAATAGACACATGTCTGTTGGAATTGCTCCTTGACCTTGATATCCGTGCTGTTTTCTTGATTCTGTGCTGCTAAATGTTTCTCAAGGTCTTTGACTGCATGCTGCACAGCGATACTGAAACGGGAGACGCTGCAGGTGGGTGGGCAGCGCTCTGACTTCTTTGGCCCAAACAGATGACATGCTTGGCTCAAGTCAACACTTTCACAAAATACTCCAAGCTCCTTGGACGGACCCCTTCTTCCTCCTAAAAGGCACATTTTATGGCCCTCTGGGGCCATCCATTGTGGTCTGAAAAAAAAATCTACAGGTTGTCCCTTTGAATCGGGACACTATCGATGCTTCAATCTGTGGCAAGTCAGGAAGATCCCATGGCCCGAGCCTGAGAGGGTGGTGGCTGGGAAAGTGCGAAGTACTACTTGGAGAAAAGCTCCTGGGAGAGGAGGGGAAAACATTAATAATACCAAAGCCAGGACCCCCAGTTCTATCTGCGTTCCTACCTTTCCAGGATTAAAAATAACCTCAACCAGCTAAAACAATAAAGAAATCCCCGGCATCTCCTCGTCTTGATGCAGGAGGCAACTCCCAGACGCTCCGGCTGTCATGCTGGAAGAACAACAACATAGTAAGAAGTTCCACAAATGTATTGTTGTTTATCCCGAGCGTGTCTTGAGCACGTTCCTGATTCTCAGTTCGGTAGCTTTCCCAGCCTTTTCCCAGCTGCAGGAAATGCTTGAATGCCTTCCTGAGCTGCATTACTTTAGAATTTGGTTTCAGGGATGCCCATGTGATGCCACTACGTTAAGATGAATCATTGAAGATGATGCCAACACTAGCGACAAGTTGCTTCATATTTACTTGAGTTTTAACGACAAGTAGGAGCTTCGAAGATAAAGACTTACTGACCTTGACACACTGACATGAGTTTGATACCATGTACTGATTTTCCCCTTCATGTTTCTGCTCACTGGTTGCACCACATGGCAGTTTTTTAAAGATTTTTTTTGGCATTTTTGCCTTTATGATAGGACAGATCAGAGCTGACAGGAAGCGAAGTGGGAGAGAGAGGGGGGGGGGGGAGATTGGGAAAGGTCTTCGAGTCGGGATTCGAACTCGGGATGCCCGTTGCGCAACAGCGCTGTATGTCGGCGCTCTACTCAGGCTATCGGCGCAGACACATTAAGTTTTTTTTAGATGTTTTCTTTTCAAGAGTTTCATCCTTTTTAAGAGGCTTTTCTTCTTCATTATAAAAGCAGATCTGTTGTACATTATTTACATTTACATTGAGTCATTTAGCAGATGCTTTTATCCAAAGCGACTTACAAATGAGGACAATGGAAGCAATCAGAATCAACAAAAGAGCAATAATAAGCAAGTGCTATGACAAGTCTCAGTTAGCCTAACGCAGTACACGTACCACTTATTTGTTATTTATGCTCTAAATTGTTTTTACATGATTACCTCTTTTATGAAGAACGTGTTTTTCAAGTAATTGTTTATAGAAATTGCATTTTGTATTTTTGATAGGCACAAAAAATAAAATAAAACGAGTGTCATTGAACCTTTACTTTGCTTTTGTCACATGTTGTTTTCCAACAACTTGAAAAAACTTTGTGCAAATGGAGTCGTGTTCATGCAGCGTTAAGTCACATTAAATGTTAACGGTTCAGATGACATACAGGTGAACATGCAGAAGCAAGGATACTTGCAAACATTCTCTTTTATGCACAGACTGCATGCTAGACTGCTCTCGAATGCTGTGGACATGGTTGTTTGAAGAAGACTATTTGTACAAAGCTCTCTTTGTTTGAATAGCACAGGTTCAGCGTGAAGTTCTCTTGGAAAGAAATTCTTTATTCTTATTTCACAAGAGTTCTCTAGCTGTATTGAATAATTTCTTTTACTAGACTTTCATTTTTGGCTGATGTCACCAAACCCTTTATTTTCTTTTCCAACGTTCATTCATATAGAGGCCAAGCCGGTCTTGGTATGCAACACCCACTTTTTACAAATCAATTCCCAATGGATGCGCGTCCCACTTTCACTTGGAAATATGTCAAATTTGGAATTTAATGAGTTGCAAATGCCATTTCATGTTGCTGTGTTCCAACACATTGAACCTTGGTGATCATATGGGCATTGTGAATTTGAATCTGGCTTGCAACATTTCAAATTCACCTGTCTTTCATCGCAATCACTTTCTTTCTTTCATGGAACACACAAAAATATATTTTGAAGAATGTTTCAACTGTTTTGGTCTACAGTGTAAGTCGGTGGGGTCCAAAATGACATTCAACTCTGTCGACCTTCATTAATTAACAAAATAATCAGTACTGTTTTTAGAAATAATAAGGGACTTATTTCTTCCATGACAGTGTAATGTGGTGTTTTGTTTCATGTTCATGTTGTCCATGTCTTTTATTTTGTAATTGTTTCATGGTCCATGTTAGTGTCATGCTTCCCTTGCCTCATGTCTCTCTGCCTTGTGTATGTGTCATGTTCTGATTGGTAGTCTTAGTCATGTGTCTTGTTCCTCATTGGTTTGTTCATGTCATGTGACCCTCCTTGTCTGCTATAAGTAGCCTTCATGTTCCCATTGTGCCTTTGTCGTGCATTGAATGTATTTAACCCGCTGTTGGTGAGTCTAGTCTGTTTGTGTCAAGTCTGCTCATGCTATGTCTGTTCAAGTCAAGTCAAGTCAAGTCTGTGTCTTGGATTATTGTTTGGATGTTTGGATCACTCTGTAAATAAACTGCACTTGGGTTCTCACTACGCTCGCCTTCAGTGGATTGACTCTTTACACATATAATGTATGAGAGCACATCAATAGGAAAACAAAGCCAAAACCTGGACACTTTAGGCAGTTTAATTTAGGTAGTTAGTTTAGACAATTCCAGTAAGAGGATGAGGTGGTGGCGTCCACTTCCGAATTCACTGCCTGCCCTGTCACGGCCACGGAGGTCGTTCATGAACTCACAGACTGCCCTGTCATGGCCACGGAAGCCGTTCTTGAACTCACCGTCTCTCCTGCCACGGCCACGGAGGCCGTCCATGAATTCACTGCCTGTCCTGTTACGGCCATGGAGGCCGTTCATGAACTCACTGTCTGCCCTGTCACGGCCATAGAGGCCGTCCATGAATTCACTGCCTGTCCTGTCACGGCCAAGGAGGCCGTTCATGAACTCACCGTCTGCCCCCTAGACCACCTCCAGTCCTCTACCCTTCTGGACGTTGTGTTGGTTGGGGTGGATGTTACATTAGGGCGTCAGGAGCCGCCCTTAGAGGGGGGGATATGTAATGGGGTGTTTTGTTTCATGTTCATGTTGTCCATGTCTTTTATTTTGTAATTGTTTCATGGTCCATGTTAGTGTCATGCTTCCCTTGCCTCATGTCTCTCTGCCTTGTGTATGTGTCATGTTCTGATTGGTAGTCTTAGTCATGTGTCTTGTTCCCCATTGGTTTGTTCATGTCATCTGTGTCTTGGATTATTGTTTGGATCACTCTGTAAATAAACTGCACTTGGGTTCTCACTACGCTCGCCTTCAGTGGATGACTCTTTACAGACAGCAGGCTATAAAAGCTGTACTCGTCGTAATTGTTTGTCTTAAATTAAACTCTCTGGGAATTCAGTCTTCCGCTTTTTTATATCCTCATTGTCCCTCTGCTGTATCCTTTGTATTGTGTGAATAATAGATTTACAGCAGCTAAAAAGGTGTAAAGAGCGCTGTCATTCTGATCAAGCCTTGCTTACAAAGAATTATGATACCATGACATGCATTATTCCCTTGTGGCCTTTTTTATTCTTGGTTAGTACAATTATTAGTGCCATTTGTTACAGGAAGCATTACGATTAAAATCGCTCATAATTCCAGTGTCCTTAGTTATGACATTATGAGTGCCGAATCCCAAAAATCATCAAAATAAAATCAATCCGTGTTCCTGCAGGTACCACCTAGTGAAGCTCCTGGAGAATATTTTTGGAAGTATGTTGCTAAAAGGCAGTTAGACTTCAAAATAAAATCAATCCGTGTTCCTGCAGGTACCACCTAGTGAAGCTCCTGGAGAAGTTTGGCAAAGTGAAGCAGTTTGACTTCCTGTTCCATAAGTCAGGTCCTCTGGAGGGCCAGCCAAGAGGATACTGCTTTGTCAACTTCCACACCAAAGAGGTTCTGGTCGTTCTTCTTTACAACATCTGAGAATTAATTACCCAAAATACCAAAGGAAGTGTCAGTTTTGATCCAGTAATGATATGCAAGTCTTTAAGAGGCACCTAGACAGCTGATGCAGATAAGGAACCGTTGGCTCTCTGGAGTGTAATATGAGGCAGTCCCAAGGGTGTTGTTGAAGGGGAAATGTGTTTTTAGAGATCTCATTCACGCCCTTCATGAGAGCTTGGAAAACTAGTGATCCATCATCAGCCATTATTGTTCCCTATCATTATGCCATGCTTTCAGCAACAGCCAGAAACTAGAAAGTAACAAACAAACACACAGGAAGGTTCAGAATCAAGACTCTTCAAAGACTATTTTTGAACAGCACTAATAGAGAATTTCAAAAATAGACATGAAACTCTTGTAATCCTGATAGTGTTAGCAGAGTATAGTGACTTGTTTATAGATGCATGTATGATTGTGATCATTATAAAAACATAGCATTTGTAACAATCAGTGTTTTCTGTCCATCACAGGAGGCTGAACGGGCTATTCAGTGTCTGAATGGAAAATTGGCACTTTCTAAGAAGTTAGTGGTGCGTTGGGCTCATGCTCAGGTAAAGGTGGGTATCGTATAAGTTGTGGTGTTTGCTTAGACAATCATCACTATTACTATTGCTCATACTGTAGGTTAGTTAGGTTAGTAGTTTGTTCAAGTCTCTTACCCTAAGTAACTGTTTTTGCCTTATGGAGGGCTGCAAATAATAAATTTTTTGGTAACACTTTAGAATGGGGAACACACAATTTGCTGCTTATTAATAGTTAGTAAGGTAGTTATATAAAAAAAAAGGATATAGAAAGATATAAAATATGGTCATGCAGAATAAGGCATTATTATGTGCTTTATAAGTCCTAATAAACAGCCAATATGCTAGTAATGTGCATGCTAATAAGCAACTAGTTAATAGTGAGAATGGGGCCTTAAAAGAAAGTGTTACCCATTTGTTTTAATCGATCAGACGTTTGCCCTAAAGGGTTAGTTCACCCAAAAATGTAAATTAGGCTGTGTTTTACTCACCCCCGAGGCATCCTAGGTGTATATGACTTTCTTCTTTCAGACAAATTCAGTCGGAGGTATATTAAAATTGTTCTGGCTAGTCCAAGCTCTATCATTGCAGTCAGCGGGTTTTGCAGTGCTTCAGTCCAAAAGAAGTGAAATAAAAAGCGCCCATCCATAAACTCTCACAAGGCTCCGGGGGGTGAACAAAGGCCTCCTGTAGCGAATCGATGCGTTTTTGTAAGAAAAATATCCATATTCAAAACGTAATAATCACTTTAATCTAGCTTGCGCCAACAGTTGTACATGGAAGCAGCTCCGGACGGATGACATATGAGGTAAGCGTTGCGCATCCGCCGGTGAGTCTCGTGAAAACCAACATTTGTTAACAGGAGCAAAGGAAGCAAAGTTTCCTTACTTTAGCAAAGGATAACCAGTCTCCTCTTGGCTTATATCAAAATCCTCTGACATTCTTCTTTACAAATCCTCATTTCGTACTTCTAATTAGTGACCGTTGTTTTGTTTTGATCTCTCCCCTGCACTTCCGCGTTTGTCACTTCTGAGCGGCGCATGCGCAAAGCTGAACTCATACGTCATCCGCCGGAGCTGCTTCCGTTTACAACAGTGAGCGCAAGCTAGATTAAATTTATTATTATGTTTTAAATATGCATATTACAAAAATGCATCAATTCACTACAGGAGGCCTTTGTTCATCCCCCGGAGCCATGTGCAGTAGCCCCTCACTGCAGAACAAAGATCCAGGGGGAGGAGTTGGATCCACATCTAGGGGGTGGAGATGATAGGTTTAGGGATCAGGGGGTGGAGATGGGTAGGTTTAGGTTTATGTAAGGTGGGAGGAGTTGGATCTGGATCCAACCTCGCCCCCTGGATCTTGTGTTCTGCAATGAGGACCATCTCGCCGTGTGAGACACTTTTTTTTTTTTTTT